AGTTTAATTTGTAACTTAGATGGTTAGTGGCTGTATCCTCGAAGGGGTTAAAGTTGAGTAAAATTATTGTCCCCAAGAGGATATGCAAAACCATATCATTCAATGTGTTTTATTCTTACTACTTTTAGTCTTAGAATATTTTGTGTTTTTAATCGTTGGTTAAAATAGCCAGACAATCTTCACCAGCCGAAATAAGCTTTTAATCCGGAAACAGGAATACTGTAAGTCCCCATGGTCCCCAGAGTATGCTGGCCTTATTTTTTGGTTGCTGGCGATCTATAACCTTATTGTATACTGTGGCGTGGAACAATTAGTCATTATTTTAATATGGTTTCAAGCTAGTTTTAGATTTAATCTTTGCTATTCCAGTTGTTATATTGCCCGTCTTGTGAAGGAATCAGTTCATGTTTATATTTTATGTTGGGTGACCTTCTGTTGTCACGATACGGCTGAAATATTGCCGATGTGACGCCAGCCTACTCTTAGTGCCAGATACATACACAGAAGCCACTTCGTCGTCAGTTTAATCAGTATATGCGATAGCTGCAATAGGTATAAAATACTGACGACAGTAGAACAGTTATAGTGCATGCAAACAGATTGTGTGTACGTTACGTTCATTACACTATAACAGTAAATAGTTACCAGGGATGTATTACTATATATACCAGCCGCATACACAGGTATAAAATACGGACGACAGTGGGACAGTTATATATATGACAGGAGCAGTGGTGTGGAAACTACTGTCATAAGACGATTTTGGAGTCAAAGTGTAATCTTGAATGTTCCAGGATAGACTAATTGAGCATAGCAAAGCCTATTCTGTCGTTAAGACTATATATGACGCCAAGAGCCTGTGAGGGTTTTTTGTAAAGATAAGGAAGTTTACCCAGATAAAATTAAATTGAGGTTTGGATACATTATTTTGCCATGGCTAGTGGTAACGTATTGATACTAGGACGAATATAAAGTCTTGCGATACTTCTTTCCTTGTGTATATATTTATTCAAATCTCAAAATAAACATGAACATTTTCCACGTTATCTGCTGTGATAATTCCTTGTCAGGTCGACGTGTCTTAGTTTCGCACACTGCACAGATTGTGACGTGTGCTCCTATAGCCATGGCCTAATGTACACAGTGACATATCTTAAAGTCCTACATAAACATGAGGCTGCATGTCAGCTGACATGTGACGGGCATACATTACGATGTAGTATCGGTCGTGGAAACAATCCAGTAGTTTCACGCTGATTGTAAAGATCTTTTCCGGCCGGTCACAAATAATATGTTCTATCTTTACCCCTTTGGTATGACGGCCTGGGATCGAACCACCGACACTTGTCAGTATGGGTAAATTATTAACATCTGTCGGCGGAATGAGACTAAAAACAACTAGAACATCGCAGATATAAAACCAGTAATTAAATCTAAAAACATTTTAACTATAGAGTACAAACAACACAATATACAAACAGACTTACAGATCGCCAACAGCTGAAGGTAGATCAACCAAGTGGACTTGGCTTCCTCCATGGACCCTAGCTGGATTTACATCATCCCTTCAGCTGTCAGAAATTCTCGACCAATCTAGCCATAAATTAAAATAACAGAGATAAATCAATAAAAGACTGGTAGATATAAAAATGCTTGGAGAGACATGAACTTACACACCCTCTCAGGGGATAATAATTTTACGGTACTTCAACCACCATCAAGGGTACAATCATAATCAATCTCTCTTAATAAATATATCGTACCTAATTATAATAAAATATCTAACTACACAATAATTTATTAAATAACTTTATTAAAAAGGTCCTTTTCTGATTTGACACTGAAATAAGTATCCCTTGTGATAACATATACATGTTAATTGTTTAATTACTTACTCTTGGCTTGAGGGTCTTGTAAAAGGTTCACTATGTATCTGCTGGCGTGGAGGCAAGTGGGACACACTGTATCATGACGACAGGTATACACTCTTCGGGGGATTACTGATTGTCTTGCCAATTAACTGGATATGATACCGAGTGGTGTCAACATCCCTGAGTGCTTGACAAATGTAACTTGTAGTCTCTCAACTATAAAATATACGGTCTAAAGGACCGCACTGTAACGAGGCACCTGGACAAGATGCCCTCAGTAGATTCGAATCATCAATAGAACACAATAGGAGGACGAATGTCATCAGTATCGTTAGATCTCGGCTTTACCAAGTCCGTCTAAATGCAAAACGACCGTCCTGTTATCTATTGGTTTGGTATAGGCGACAGAGATAGCGGTATGGGGCTGATTGTTCACCAACATACACGCTATACAAAGTGTACAGAAGTTTCGAGGTTTTACCCCCGATTCAGAGAAAACGGTACAAGTGACGAGAGTCGGGGACGCAGTTATTGACAGTGATAGGTATTGGCGGAACCTCATCACACGTGAGAGTTGCACTGATTCAATCAATGTGAACTTGACTGCCCAGCCTTTTGCTTCTTTTCAGTCCGCTAATACACGCAGAACACTCCTATCAGTCTGCCCTTGGCCAATATCTCGTATTGTGCTTTGACATAATTCTGTTATCACATACCACTTCTGTCCGTCACACATCACTTTGTGACCTGCCAACAAACTGATGTACGAGGTACAGAAACTGTCCTATCTTGATAAAGCCTTTACCATATGCTAATATGTCTTTGCCATATGCTATTATATCTGTGCCATATGCTATTATATCTTTGCCATATGCTATTATATATTTGCCATATGCTATTATATCTTTGCTATATGCTATTATACCTTTGCCATATGCTATTATATTTTTGCCCTATGCTATTATATCTTTGCCATATGCTATTATATCTTTGCCATATGCTATTCTATCTGTGCCATATGCTAATATATCTTTGCCATATGCTAATATGTCTTTGTCATATGCTATTAGATCTTTGCCATATGCTATTATATCTTTGCCATATGTCATATATCGATTATATCTTTGCCATATGCTATTATGTCTTTGCCATATGCTATTATATCTTTGCCATATGCTATTATATCTTTGCCATATGCTATTATATCTTTGTCATATGCTATTATATCTTTGCCATATGCTATTATATCTTTGCCATATGCTATTATATCTTTGCCATATGCTATTATATCTTTGCCATATGCTATTCTATCTGTGCCATATGCTATTTTATCTTTGTCATATGCTATTATGCCATATGCTATTATATCTTTGCCATATGCTATTATATCTTTGCCATATGCTAATTATATCTTTGTCATATGCTATTATATCTTTGCCATATGCTATTATATCTTTGCCATATGCTATTATATCTTTGCCATATGCTATTATATCTTTGCCATATGCTATTATATCTTTGCCATATGCTATTTTGTCTTTGCCATATGCTATTATATCTTTGCCATATGCTATTATGTCTTTGCCATATGCTATTATATCTTTGCCATATGCTATTATATCTTTGCCATATGCTATTATATCTTTGCCATATGCTATTATATCTTTGCCATATGCTATTATATCTTTGCCATATGCTATTATATCTTTGCCATATGCTATTATATCTTTGCCATATGCTATTATATCTTTGCCATATGCTATTATATCTTAACTACATGCTACTACCATTGACACTGTCTCCACGTTTATACTTGGTGTATTTCTCAGGTTTTCTCATGTTCAAGTTTTCATGATAGATTACTTCAATTCCTTCCTTTCAACTTTAATACGCTGTTAACCTTTGAATATGAATTATGACTGTGTATACAGAATACTTTGTGTGACTGCCCACTCGGGGAATGTAGTAGTTAGAGTGTAATAACTGTAGTAGTTAGAGGGTAAAAACTGTAGTAGTTATAGCGTAATAACTGTAGTAGTTACAGTGTTATAACTGTAGTAGTTAGAAGGTAATAACTGTAGTAGTTAGAGTGTAATAACTGTAGTAGTTAGGAGCGTAATAACTGTAGTAGTTAGAGGGTAATGCCTGTAGTAGTTACAGTGTACTATCTGTAGTAGTTAGAGTGTAATAACTGTAGTAGTTACAGTGTACTATCTGTAGTAGTTAGAGTGTAATAATTGTAGTAGTTACAGTGTACTATCTGTAGTAGTTAGAGTGTAATAACTGTAGTAGTTACAGTGTACTATCTGTAGTAGTTAGAGTGTAATAACTGCAGTAGTTAGAGGTAATGCCTGTATTAGTTAGATTGTGTGGTCCATCCCTGGACTGGCTGGTCCTTCACTGGATTGGCTGGTCCATCAGTGGGTTGCCCTGTCCATCACGGGATTGTGTGGTCCATCACTGGATTGTGTGGTCCATCATGGGATTGTGTGGTCCATCTCTGGATTGGCTGGTCCATCAGTGGGTTGCCTGTCCATCACTGGATCGGCTGGTCCATTAGTGGGTTGCCTGTCCATCACGGGATAGTGTGGTCCATTAGTGGGTTGCCTGTCCATCACGGGACTCTGTGGTCCATCATGGGATTGTGTGGTCCATCATTGGATTGTGTGGCCCATCACGGGATTGTGTGGTCCTTCATGGGATTGTGTGGTCCATCTCTGGACTGGCTGGTCCATCACTGGAATGGCTGGTCCATTACTGGGTTGCCTGTCCATCACGGGACTGTGTGGTCCATCACTGGATTGTGTGGTCCATCATGGGATTGTGTGGTCCATCTCTGGACTGGCTGGTCCATCACTGGATTGGCTGGTCCATCAGTGGGTTGCCTGTCCATCACTGGATTGTGTGAGACATGATTGTTTACAAGATATAGTGGTACGGCAAAAGTACTGATATAAACAGAAGCGGCAAAACCCTCCCGGTTGCTATCACGCCACGTGTACGCACACTACGTGTGGCTCCCCGAGCTGGCATTGTACCAAACACTTGAGTCGGGCTATATTAAAGTCGTTTTACCCGGCGGCGAGGCAGTCGTCTACCAAGCTGCGTGCTGTACAGTTTGATTGAACAATGGAGCTATCAACACTGGTATTCCTCATTCTTGTGCTGACTGCTGTCAGTGACTTGCGGGCTGTTCGCAAGCGTGGGACCTTGTCTGACCGGGTGAGAGAGATGGAAATGGATATCAACGCTTGGAAAGGTACAGTTGGTAATCTTGAGGGTAAAATGTTTGACCGCTTTAAAGACTTGGAGTCGTCACTAAAGAAGAACTGACCAGAACTTTCGTCCCTGCCCTGATAAAGCCCCTCGTCAAACAAGCCATTACCGACATCATGAATGAAGATTACATCGGGAACATGATCAGCCGGGCATGTTCTCGAGGAGGTTCAAAGTTTGAAAACAAAAGTACAAAACACAAAGATAGAAATCAAGGCACTGGCACAAAGGTTGAGAAGTGTTGAACAGGAAAGAGATACATATAGGAAAAGTCTCGGAAAACTACGTGGAAGGTTGACCGAAGACATCCGTGTATTACAGCTGCAAGTGAACCAGACAGTAGCTGACCTGCGTGATGCCAGAACCACCACGTATCCTGGAACTACAGCAGGTGAGAGATTTAGTAAAGATTAGTCAGCTTAATTAACGTTCCCTCTTGACATTCCAACCGGAAGATATGAGAATATTATCTTGATTATTTCGTTTGAATTTAGCCAATGTTTTACAGTCATACTGCATACGTACTAAGTTTTGTCTTCTGCTTTGAAACAATATGTTGGAGGTAAACTTTCTGTATTTTTAGTGGAGACCTTTCATTTCCGAATATGACAGTGTTAAACTACTCTTATTTCAAATGCTTTTGACCAATAAAATGTGTGAACACACAGGCTGTCATTACAGGACATGTCAACACAGGATTAACATAACATGTCAACATTGGGTTATTTGCTCAAGCACATTGTTTATTGGTAATGTAAGATAGTGTTGATTGGATATATATTTTATTGGGTATGTGTACATAGAGGTTATTGTGTATCTCAGCGGAGACTGAATTGGGCATCTGAACAAAAGGTTAACAGGATATGCCAATGGTGCATGACCTGCATAGAGTTTATTGGGTATGTCAAAGGGGACAACGTAGGGCTTGGAAGGGCATTTAATACATAACACTACCACAATACATGACACGTGATCTGCTGACTGATTATTATATTACATTCTAAGATGCCTAGCGGTTAGAACAATCGAAAAACAAATACATTATCAGACATTCTAAGATGCTTAGTGGTTAGAACAATCGAAAAAAAAATACATTATCAAACAATGAAGGTATAGTTTTTCGATGACGTAACAATTGAATGACGTTATCCTTTCACTGCGCCTTTCTAGTGTGCCCCCTCGTAATCGAACCATTTTACATTACGTCACAATGTAAGCGACGTCACGATGCATGTCAGTTGTCATCGCCTCGTACTCCGTTGCTTCCCCTTTCTTGGTTTGCACTTGCTTCACGCAGCTAACATCACGTTTATGTTTTACAACGGTTAAAATGTGCCACAAACTCACAAGTTTTCAGCGACGCGTTAACGTTCGTAATGTTTACATTCCCACAATGCAATTGTGGAATGTTGCTTGACTACTCAACTTCCTCTGGATGTACTGATCTAAACTTACGCTGGTAGTAGAAATGCAACGTTCATATTGCCCCATATGGTTTACGTTAATGACAGATGTAATAGAAATAATCAAGAGAAGATATTTAATCCGAACGTAAACCGTCATCAAACTGTTATCATTTGTTTTTGTGGTAACGTTCGCCTTAACGTAGAGGGGGCAGACACATCAATAGAACAGCGCGCCAGTTAGCCCTGTGCGAGGATTCTTAATTTAGGTCACCGACACCGTCGTTTGTTTTCTGCCTTAAATTAATCGTAATTATCCTTAGAAAGTATATAATTTAGCAGCTTAGAAAGAAATTCAGTTTGCTCTTCGAACTGTATTTCTTAATGAGTACTACTATCTTAGTTACATTATTAAAAAATGATGTCGTATAGATTACAATTCCATCGTATTACTAACCTCACTAATGACAAGAAATATATTGAATCTGAGATAAGGGTTCATATTTTAAGGTGAAATGCCATTAAATCTCAATGTATTTGGTGGTTGCATGAAAGCGATAGTAGATAATCATTGTCGATTACATGTGCTTGTAACAGTCGCCCTCCATCTCTCGAATCCACAAATCTTGTCACCGCACCCAGGGTCTCGGTGGCTTGGAGAAGGGTTGGCAAGGGTGGGGCTGGTTCGTCACTATCAATGTCACTGTCGCTGTCATTGACTCCTAATCCCTATTTCTCTGTCCGCAATTTAGAAACAACTCAACAATCACATGCTAGTCACGTGATTGCACAATCCCTCATTGAAATCTCAGTATGTTTTGATTGGAAACTATAATCCGTTATCAGTTGTGTTAAGTCGTAACGGTGAGTACTTCCTAATTAATTCATTCTTAATTAATCCCAATTAATCAAGTGACACCTTCAACTTAAATTGCCCTAATTAGTTTACACTAACGCATCTCTTTGATTTATGCCGCACCGTGTGTAAACATGTAGAAACAACCTCAGTTCAGAGGGATACTTGCCCATGAAAGGTAGGTGAATACCGAGTTTCTTATTAATATCAAGTTACAAGGGTAATTTTGCTTGTGGGGACCATGAAATTATATCAAGATATCCGAAATATCGAGACCTCCGTAACAAGTTAAAAGAGCTTGAATAATGATAAACTATGAAGGATTTTGCCGGGACCGAGATGTTATATCGACACATCAGAGATATCGGGTTATCAGTGTTCGACACATAGGTGCTCGACTATATAAACAATTCATTCACATATTTTAACTACAACATGACATAATATTATAATGCTCACACCAGTTGAATATCAAGGAAATACAGCTAACCTGACAGCACACGCAATTGGTTGCAATCTCCCAACTTTCATAGCCCCAAACTATAATACCCGATTGATTGACCCCCAACTTTCCAGATACATACAATGGTCTCCCATACTCCCATATGGTATTCTGAATAGGCTTACGACTTATGGACACTGTGTCTGAACATAAATATACTGTATCTATTTCACACTTAGACTGAATTGAGGAATACCTGTCTACACTTAGCACAACAGGCTCAGAAAAACACAGTTTGTCTTTCATTATAAGCTCAATGTAAGTACGTTCACAGAATGATCGCAGCTATTTACATCTAAGCATCTGACGTCTAATGATACCCACATATGACGTGTTTTCAAAGGGGGCATATATACTTTTGTAAACAAATATTGGGAGTTTTGTGATTCAAACAATCGGTGAATGACTACAATCTAAGGAGGCGGTAACAGTTCCTCCCTATCCCCCCATCCCGAATAATATTTATTAATTAATATATACTAAAATTATTAGCAAAACCTAACACAACAATTACTTTAGAAATCACAAAAATGGGTGTCCATAACTTAGGTTAGGTTTAGGGTTGGGGGAACGGAAGGAAATCTTTCCAGGGAAGCATCCGATATGCTTATAATACAATTGTCGTCCATGACATAACACAGGTAAACACGAAATGTGTTGTAATATGCTGCTTTCATCTGATAAAACTGGAGGGCTAACTTGGGACGATTAGAAATATTTCCATATAGAGTTGTTGATAAGTACAAGCAGTCGAGCGCCAAACGTTGCCATGCTCTTAATCTGACACGTCACAATGACGTCATAGCTGGCAGCTTTGCGGTCGTGGTGTCGCCAGTCAAGGCATTTCATAGCTAGCAGTGAGACGAGTCGCTCGTGTTAGGACGTTACTGGTGGGTAAGTTTCTCAGTTTCTACTTTTTAACTGATTCAGGAAATTTGATGAAATAGTGTAAATGTACATTGTACGTCTGCTGTAAAGCTGTATGAATGTTGTAGGAACCAAGTGCTTGCTTCACACAATGTTTACACCAGACCTGTGTTTAGCTTGTCACCTGCGGGGGACGATGGAAGGTCTGGGTAAACATAACAACGCAGCGTTTCACCTGATAGACTTGTTATATTTGATCAAATAATGTGCTCTTTCTTAGCGTTATGCTTTGACCTGATTGCATTTACCTCTGTCACGGAAGACTTTATGAGAATGTTTTAAACCTTTCCAGTCAAATATTTAATTTACACTGTATTTCATTTCTTTTTATTCTGCGTCAATGAATAGTTGCATTGCATTGAAATACACCCGCTACATAGCACACGGTGAAACTTATCAGTTAAAATCGGTTTACAATTAAGACCTGTAGAGTTGTTTTTTAACAATGAAACCTTAAATGTGGAACACATGCATTTCTGCAACATTTTGAAAAACCAATAAATTATGGAAGGGCAAGTACGCTTTTTAGTCTCGTTATTTCTAATATTGAAACAGACGGAGAATGTTAATCACTCGGACAGCGACATGGACAACGTTTGCCTGACACTAAATTTAAACTGTGTTGCATAAACAGGAAGTCAAAAGGCGAAACCGCATTATCAGTGGTTCGTGTCGTTTGCTATTGTTTCACTATGTAGTAACTATTTTTTGCATTTTGTATCTATATGTGATGCTTAAGTTGTATTTATGAATATTTCTTTAGTCAGATATCTGTGATGTTTTTTTTGTCGACAACATTTCAAATTTTGTTTAGTTTCAAATTTGTGCCCAATGTGATGGGAGAATGTGCCCGCCATTGAACACTAAACTTTAAATCTGCTTCACATTAGAATTAATGGAATTGCCTAAAATACCATGTACAAAATATACCGCTAGGGTGGGGACATCAAGGAAAGGCATTTTTGAAATTCCAGTTACGGTTAATGAATTCAAACTAAAAAAGGTGGTCATTCCAGAAAGAGGAATTATAATTAGGTATAAATGCAGATGTTTTTGTTTGTTTATCCATTGTTTTCTTTCAGTGTAATAATGTACATATGTTTATACTTAAAGTACCCGTAGAATTTGCTTACCACTAGCCTAACCCTAACCTAACCCTGAGGGCAAACAGATCCTTTAGTTACACTGTTCATGTTTATATTTCAAAACAGCATAACAATCTATTCAGTTACTACATTTCAACAAAGAGTGAGCATCTCAGCTGCTGGGACACAGTCAGTGCAAAGCTTATTACACTTACTGAATCAAACTGTAAAATATATGTAGGAAATGTTCTTTTCTCTCCTGCAGAGACACGGGGTCTTGATGAACAGGTACCTCAATCAAAGGAAACCATATATATCTAATACTTCTGCTATAATAGATGTATTTGGAATTTATTCACACATAATATTCAAAGGCAAAACATTGTGGAGGGCGAAAACTGAGGCCAGTAGTAGTAATAATGCTTATGCGCTATGTATAGTATTCTGAATATATTATTCCCTGTTTCAGCCTCGACTGGCCTGACCCAGCACAACACGGTTCCACCACCGCCAGTGACGACACAAGACTCTGATCTACAGGGTAGGTGGGAAAACCCAGCAGACAGGGACGTCAGTCCTTAATTATCCGTCCATTTAACAGAGTGGAGTATATATACCCGTGGAGATTCTGACTTCAGGTCACAGGATTTCAAACTGCCACTTAAGGAAGGATTTCAAACTGGGAGTGTTTTTCTTTTCCTGCATAGACATGCGGTTTCGATGGAGAATTATCTCAGTTAAATTGAACGATATATATTTAATACTTCTTTCATAAGATATGTATTTAGAATTTAATCATACATAATACTGAAAGGCGAAACATTATGTGGAAAAGCGAAAACTGAGCCAGCAGTAAAATGCTTATGTGCTATGTATAGTTTTCTGAACAACATATTCCCTGTTTCAGCCTCGACAACCGACGTGAGTGATGATCTGACACCGAGAAAGACGGTTCCACCAGCGCCAGTGACGACACAAGACTCCACGGTAGGTGGAAAACCCAGCAGGCAGGAAGAATAGTGGTGTCGATCGACGTTCATGTTGTCGGTCACAGGATTCCATGAACCAGATAATTATGCTGAGGTCGCCACCAGACAGCTGGAATACTGCTGAGTGTGGCGTCAAACACCAACCAAAACACTGTGACATAAACCAACGTTATATCTTATAACCCTAAAACCAAACAACAGTTGTACTGACATTATCAACTTGTAAAGTTCAACAAACATCAACACTCTCCAGCCGAACACAAGATATTGCTACAACTTCTGGAAAGTTCTGTATTAAACACACCATCGTTTATCCCAGAAACCACATGTTGACATTCCCGCCATGTTGTATTGTTGTCAGCCATGATGGAATTGCTTAAATGATGTAGCAATGTCCGAGTCACGTATCAACATGATGAAAACATTGTAGATGTGTGACACAGATGTCTGATGTTTACTTTGTGTTGCAGCGACTCCATCACCAGCAGCAGGCCGCCGCCTCTACTCCGCCAGCGAGGACGGTGACCTGGAGACAGTGAAGCGGATCCTGGCAGCGGGTCAGGTGGACATCAACACGAGAGGAGGATACTGGAGCAAGACACCGGTGATGGCGGCAGCACTTGGGGGACACAGAGATGTGGTGGAGTTCCTGGTGGGTAGAGGGGGCTGATGTGTCGCTGGTGGACAGTAACGATGACAACGTCCTTCACTACGCCTGTCATGGTGGAGACCTGGAGATCGTGAAGCTGATCGTGTCCAGGAACCTGGTGGACGTCAACGCCAGGGACAACGGTGGGAACACAGCGGTCTACTGGGCGAGACTCCAGGGACATCAGCGAGTGGTGGAGTTCCTGGTGTCACGAGGTGGACACTGAAGTCGGTGTCGGTGTGGACAGTGACGGTGCACATGTGGTTACTGACACTGACACGGTGTGTGCCGTCCATGTTGTCGTGTGTCACGATTCACGTGATTTCCTTTTTTCTTCCTGAATATAAATAAAACTTGTTGAGTGTATTTTCAGACATTTTGTCATTTGTTTCGTTTGGAACCTCGCAGGATCAGGTAAGAAAATTGTGAAGTGAGTGTAAACATGAATGGTGAGTTATTGTACGTAAACGTCGCCCGTCTTAACATAAGTCTGTGTTAATTTTGTTCTGAGTTCTGAGAATATCGCGAAACCGACAACAACAAACTGTTTGTTTACATGTCGCTGCACTCTGTGACCTCAGACTGAGCCGAGGTTCACCCAGTGATATGGCGCCATTTGTACAGTGACAGTGACGTCACACTGCTGGTGACGTCACAGATATACACTGAGGTGCCGTCCGTCTTCTCAGCCTGATAGGACAGAGAGCGGCGCAATGCTGGCTTCATGCCAGACAGCACAAAACACAGTGTTAGTCAAATACCATGTGGTCGGTGTCGTTTAACAAAGGAAGAATGGACATATGTAGCTGGTTACGGCTGAGATTTAACCCTTTTGGTGCCACAGGGACATGCATCCCTTCTACAGTGACTAAACACACAGAATATAAAATTAAACTGAAAACAATCATCACCGAAATCATCTCAGCTTTATTAAGCCCTGGATGCCAGAATAACAAATATCTCCCTCAGTTCTCTGTTTCTTGATCTAACATACTGTTATTTAGGTAAAACACAATTGCTGAAATGACCGGTAAGAATTATGTATATCGTAAAATCTCGCCATTTTTGACACATGAAGAATTCGCCATTAGCGGCATATTGTACTGTATGTTTTAAATGTAAATATCGGATATTTACCCGTTGAACTGAATTTGAAAAATAGACAATTACTGATCATTGGCATGTGTTTGTCAAGTCGGCAATGATTATGCTGGAACCTAGCCTTTAACATTGGTGTAACCTTTAAATCGTCTTGGGGGCAGGCAAACACAAACGCCGAAGTGAGCCTTCCTTTATATTTAATAGTGAGTGAGTTAGCTTAGTTTTACGCCGCTTTTAGCAATATTTCCGCAATATCACGACCGGGGACACCAAAATGGGCTTCACACATTGTACTCATGTGGGGAATTGAACCCGGGTTTTGGCGTCACGAGCGAACGCTTCAACCACAAGGCTACCCATTCGGCCCTATTTGACAGTGTTTAGAAAACCCTGTTTCACGTGAGGTCTTCATGAAACGCCCATTACATCGCACGTGTTTAACACTCCAGTTGCAAGACAGACATCCCTGAATTCTTCACATATTTAAAAATCAAATGACTGATGGTCTTTGTTACCCGTCCAAATAGTGTTGATGATATTAACCCCATGGATGCCGTTCAAATAATGTTGATATTAACCCCATGGATGCCGTTCTGACAGTGTTGATGTTAACCCCTCGGTGCCTTTCAGGCAGTGTTGATGATCTTAATCCCTGGATGCCATTCAGATAGTGTTGATATTAAACCCCTGGATGCCGTTCAGATAACGTTGATGATATTAACCCTCTTGATGACGTTCAGATAGTGATGATGGTATTAACCCCATGGATGCCGTTCAGATAGTGTTGATATTAACCCTGGGTGCCGTTAAGTGTGTTAATATTGACCCCTGGATGCCGTTCAGATAGTGTTGATATTAATCCCCTTGATGCCGTTCAGATAACGTTGATGATATTAACCCTGGATGCCGTTCAGACAGTGTTGATGTTAACCCCTGGGTGCCGTTCAGATAGTGTTGATATTAATTCCCAGATGCCGTTGAGATAACGTTGATGATATTAACCCCATGGATGCCGTTCAAACAGTGTTGATATTAACCCTGGATGTCGTTCAAACAGTGTTGATGTTAACCCCTGGATGCCGTTCAGATAGTGTTGATATTAATCCCCTGGATGCCGTTCAGATAACGTTGATGATATTAACCCCTGGATGCCGTTCAAACAGTGTTGATATTAACCCCTGGATGCCGTTCAGATAACGTTGATGATATTAACCCTCTTGATGCCGTTCAGATAGTGATGATGGTATTAACCCCATGGATGCCAGTTCAGATATTGTTGATATTAACCCCTGGGTGCCGTTAAAGTGTGTTAATATTGACCCCTGGATGCCCGTTCAGATAGTGTTGATATTAATCCCCTTGATGCCGTTCAGATAACGTTGATGATATTAACCCCTGGATGCCTTTCAGACAGTGTTGATGTAAACCCTGGATGCCGTTCAGACAGTGTTGATGTAAACCCCTGGATGCCTTTCAGACAGTGTTGATGTTAACCCCTCGGTGCCTTTCAGGCAGTGTTGATGTTAACCCCTGGATGCCGTTCAGACAGTGTTGATATTAACCCCTGGGTTCCGTTGAGACAGTGTTGATATTAACCCCTGGATGCCGTTCAGACAATGCTGATGTTAACCCCCTGATGCCGTTCAGATAGTGTTGATGTTAACCCCTGGATGCCTTTCAGACAGTGTTGATGATATTAACCCTCTTGATGACGTTCAGATAGTGATGATGGTATTAACCCCTGGATGCCGTTCAGATAGTGTTGATATTAACCCTGGGTGCCGTTAAGTGTGTTAATATTGACCCCTGGATGCCGTTCAGATAGTGTTGATATTAATCCCCTTGATGCCGTTCAGATAACGTTGATGATATTACCCCCTGGATGCCGTTCAGACAGTGTTGATGTTAACCCCTGGATGCCGTTCAGATAGTGTTGATATTAATCCCCAGATGCCGTTGAGATAACGTTGATGATATTAATCCCATGGATGCCGTTCAGATAACGTTGATGATATTAACCCCTGGATGCCGTTCAAACAGTGTTGATATTAACCCCTGGATGCCGTTCAGATAACGTTGATGATATTAACCCTCTTGATGCCGTTCAGATAGTGATGATGGTATTAACCCCATGGATGCCGTTCAGATATTGTTGATATTAACCCCTGGGTGCCGTTAAGTGTGTTAATATTGACCCCTGGATGCCGTTCAGATAGTGTTGATATTAATCCCCTTGATGCCGTTCAGATAACGTTGATGATATTAACCCCCTGGATGCCTTTCAGACAGTGTTGATGTAAAACCCCTGGATGCCGTTCAGACAGTGTTGATGTAAACCCCTGGATGCCTTTCAGACAGTGTTGATGTTAACTCCCCTGGTGCCTTTCAGGCAGTGTTGATGTTAACCCCCTGGATGCCGTTCAGACAGTGTTGATATTAACCCCCTGGGTTCCGTTGAGACAGTGTTGATATTAACCCCCTGGATGCCGTTCAGACAATGTTGATGTTAACCCCCTGGATGCCGTTCAGATAGTGTTGATGTTAACCCTGGATGCCTTTCAGACAGTGTTGATGATATTAACCCCTGGATGACGGGTTTTGTCTGAAGAGTGATCATTTTGTGAGAATCGTGCTCACGCAGCCCTAAATCTATCTAGGGCTATAAAATTATACAGAAATGTAAAAAGCTAGCTTCTTTTATTGCTTTTACTGTAAAAATGAATACATATATGAAGGGAGACTGATGAGAAATATTTTCCTCTTCGTCAAGTATGCCCGAGGGAGGAGTTGATGGTCTCCAGAGAGACGTCGATAATGTTCTTTATCTCCTTGCTGGTATTGGATAACAAACTGCTGATGACAGTGCAACGTTTGGGAGTAAATATTCTGTTCTGCCTACCTGGTAACAGGTCACGTGCACGTAAACGGTGAGCACGATCACGTCTGCCTCTTCCTTTATGATTAAATTAATTCAGGTAAGTGTCATTTGATTGTTTGGCGCCATCAAGGTTTTGTTCATATCTGAATGACAAGCGTGAATACCAATCATGGCACGTGTTTGATGACTGTCACAACTTTGTGTTTATCAGTATAATTTCGTAAGTATTCTTGCCACATATTGAATGAGAAACACTGGTGTTTGCTTCTGTAGTTTCACATTTCAAGTTACTTACCTGTTCAGAGTATACATAGCCCGGGTTATAGTTAAGCTAAGTTTTTCTTAATGCAGTTTTTTGGTGAGAGTGCATGAACGTTTTTGTGTCTGCATGTATATTTCCAGTGTTGTGCCAGGTATAGGGTGTTAGTCCACTGACGTCACAGTATCCCAGAAGGCGCCCCTTGATCTGTCCTTGCTATCTGCGTTACATCATCATCAACAAGACCAGACGCACCAGTGTTAAACATAGGACGCGTGTTTAGAAACTAAGACGATAGACTCACCATGTTATCAACCATGAACTTTAAGAAATGATATCTCAGATATATTGCCTAGTTATCACCCCTATGGTGTGCCACACGATGGCGCATTCGTCACTTGTTGATAAACTGGAAACAGATTACGGTTTTGTCTTTGGTTTTACAAGGTGTCGTTGGGATCGATGATTTGACAAGTCACTACCTGGTGGCTTATAGCGTGTCTGGATGTAAGCTGAATGAGGAAATATTGTTTTGTGGCACAGTGTTTACAAATTAGAACAGATTTTCTCTCGGTAATTAAGAATGCAGAACACAAAAGAATGCAAGTTGCAGTACAGAACTCTGGATAGTCACAGAAATTATTTGAAACTAGTAGTATGAATACCTTATGGATTAGAAAGACCTCCAAGGTTTTGCTGGACATTTCGGAATCTTACAATGTACCAAGTCAATACTTTACAAAACATTTTATTCATCCTTCAACTTTGTACAGCACTAAACCTAATGATAAACTCAAAGATGAAACTTCACGTGTGGATAATAGATACAGTGACATGTCATTATTTGATCAAGAACTAAGGTCATCTGATGTTTACTGACAAAATGATAGGTCAAATAGAGGACTTCTTCATTGATTAACTCTCACGTAATATCTGGGTGTCAGACATTACGGCAAGAAGGAAACAACATTAAGCTACATATCGCGTAGATCATAGATACAGTGACATATCATATCGATATTTAGAGATTCAGCACTATTTGTCAAAGAACTTTGACCACCCAATGTTTACTCAGAAGAATAGTGTCTAATGATGGATTTCTCCATTGACAAAACTCGCGTACTATTATACTATCATTGGGTCAGACATTTCCGCAAAGGTACACATCTCCATGGGCACCAAGTGCGATCCCATACGTGCCGATCTGTTGTAAAATGCATGTGGACAGGAATTTCTGTTCACACTGACAAATGTCATTTGGCTTAGAAGTTTTACTTAAGCTTCAGGTATATGAATGACCTGTTATTGTTCAAACATCACCAAATAGCAAAACTACCTCCACTGGTTGACCAGCAAGAACTAGGATCAAGGACACCAGTAAAACCACTTCATGTGTTTCATATCTAAATCTAATCATAACGAATCAGGGGAAAAATTAAAGCCTACATTAAGGCTATACGACAGGAAGGAAGACAGTCACCATTCCTGAACGTCCATCCTTTGGTTTTAAATAGTGAGGTACCATCAACCTTTGCTGTCTCAACCAAAGGTTCAAGGAGACTCATACAACTATTGCTCAAAAGTTAGTTGATTACGGTGCCATGACAAACATGTATAGCACATTTTGAAATTTGATTTATCAGGGACAAAATGTCGGATGCAGTTACGTTCTGCCACTTGTCCCGTGTGAGTGTATTCAGGTGGACAGTTGACACCTCTCCTTTCATCACCCGTTATCATCATCGCGTAAACACCTGCACATGTACAGTCAGAATCGTAAACCTTCCTTGTGGCTATGGACAATTGCTTGTATAATGTTTGCGACTAATCTGTAAGACAATTTGACAAATCCATTTACCTCACTCACTTTGCGCAGAGGTGCCACCAGAAAGGGTCACATGATATGTATACGATAACAACTATGTGTTACTGGTTCATGGTCAACTTGGCTAGTCCTTAAGTGGCATTTAGAAGCTGGTATGATGAAGAGGAACACTTTTATGGATATGCAACTTCTTGGTAGACAACGCCTGAAGGTTCTTCTTTGTTCTTTGTAGCAAGTTTACCGTTGGCTTGTAGGATATGCTGAATTGTACAACTCGAAAACAAGAAGGACGTTCAGGTGACACATACATAGGAGAAACGTCCCGCCCCGTGAACCTGCGAATCAAGCAACATCAGACATTTGCAAAGAAAACAGACTCCAAATCAGCCATTTCCGACCACACCCAAACCATATTATCCTTTGGATCAACATCAGCATTCTAGAAGCCAACAAGTCAGATTACAGGACAAGAAAACTCTTAGAGGCAATCAACTTCAAACGACTCAGCCCGACAATCAACAGAGATCAAGGTCATTACATCCCTACAGCTTACGATCAACTCATCAAGCCTAAACAAGAATAACCCACCCTTTGTCCACTGGCTTCAATCATTTCATATCACAACAAGCTTCAAGTCAACACACATCAACCTCTTCTATTGTATAAACTCAAATACCCGCCATGCATATATTTCTCCTTGTGCATATGTTGTGCATCTTTTGCCTGATAACAGTGTTAGGATCTCCTAACGTTGCATCCACTTCAAGAGAGAAGTTGTATATCCATAAAACTGTTCCTCTTCAGTCGTCACCCAGGTTGAGAAAACCACTATGTTTCTCTGTGGTAGTCTGATTTTAAGGTATTTCAAACGAAACATGATCAGTATGACAATATGACAAATATTTTATTTCAAGTTTGTTCAGCTCGTTTACGCTGTATGGTCAATACAGTGTTTACGAGAACTGTCCATTCCATTGGTATCTGACAGTAATGAACAATAAAACCAAACATGGAGCAAGTATTCTCTTCTGGATGCATGGAAATAGGCGCTGTACAGTATTTGTCATGAAATGGTTATATTGCCAGTCATACAGATCCATTCACTGTATCTGACACCGTGTGTCCCGTGGCAACTGTTTCATTTTCGCTTCCTACACTTCGATGAGTACATATACTTATGGGGAAACCATATGCTTAAAATGAAAAATCTTTAATCGCCATGTCTAGACTTCATATTTCATCTTGCAACTTCTACATCTTTAGGAAGTCAACATAAACAGATAACTGTATCAGACTGATGAAGACAGGTTTACAAGTGTCATTCCTTGAGTCACAGATATTGCCAGGTTATTTTCCAATCAATGTCTTGAGTTCTGTACAGTTGGGATTTTCTTCTTTTTAATTCGGACACCCTGTTTTTAGTTCTTTTGTGATTACGCTACCACGGAACTGTCTGACTGCCATGGCCAAGGGAAATTGAAATACTGGACATGATTAGGAAGTCTGTCGTCGATGGTCAGTAAATAACACCACTATCACCGATTAAGACGTAAAACTAGCATATTACAATAATTATACACGCAACAATACAATATTAAAACAGGCTATAGATCGCCAACAATTGAAGGTAGATCACCATGCTAGAGACCATGGAGACCCACAGTGCCTTTGCTACTTGCATGGGTGGATTTACATCATCCCTTGAGATGTTGACGATTAAGACAAAATTAACCAAGCATTAAAAGAACATGTATTCTATAAGTAAAAACGTGGTAAGATAAAATCTGCTTTAAATGTTTTGGGACTTTGTTTCTTGCAGATGTGTCCTGCTCGTTTACTTTGTCTGATGATACATGGTCACAATAGGGACTTTGATGATTGTCCATTTATCTGGCAGTAATGAATAATACATAACACTATGAAGCATGACATTCTTCTACAAGTATTCTCTTCTGGATACATGGAAATATACGCTATACAGTATTTGTCATGAAATGGTTATATTGTCAGTGGTGCAGATCCATTCACTGGATAACAGATATTGCCAGATCATTTTATAATCAATGACTTGAGGTCTGTATAGTTGGGATGTTGTTTTCCTAATTTAGACAACCTCTCTTTTAGTTCATTGATATAGGCTTTAGGTACACAGACCATAGTCTCAGAGGGCTTATGTTCTGTTTCTTTGGTGTACACATGCTTACAAAGGAACCGGATACTGGCATGTTTCAGCACCAATACCTGGTGGTCCGTGTATAAGGCGACGGCGCACGCATCATAGATGGTAGGATGGGCAAATGACGTTATATCTCCTTTTGTGAAGAAGCTACCACGAAACTGCCTGACTGCCATGGCTACTGCTGTCCTCGTTGTAAATTCCACCACGCTTTTCATGGTCTTGAACTGATCCTCGAGATCCTTGTTGTCAGATGGGAGTTCAACTTGGTGCAAGTTCAGCGGACCATCATACAAAAACATGAGGATAAGAGCGGCAGACTGATCATCTTCACGTTCAAGAATTGAATTCATTTCTTCTTTTAGATAGTGAAAAGGCCTTTGAAAGAAATCTTCAGGATGGTTTTGAAAAGTTTTGAACCCAACAAAAAGTTTGCATGTTTGAGGAAAGCCAAGGATGGATTGGTTGACTCCACAAATCTTGTCCACAACGACAGTTGTGTCAAAACCTTTCCAAAGTTTGTTAAAGATGAGTTTCTTCTCTTCAGGTGTGTACTGACACGACATCTCATTGAGATCGAGGAACGATGGACCACTGAAGACATATGACCATTCATCTCCAAGCTGTGATATCTCACCATGGTTGATGTATGTGTTAGCTGTAAATATGGTGTACAGTTTGTGTTCTTGTGTCCTGTTCTTACACACTCTGAGTTGAAGCAAAACATTTTTAAGAACAGCTATGTCTCTTGAACGCTCTACGATCCTAATTATGTCATGAAATATGAAACACACACGCTCCTGTGAGGTAGTTCACGAAAGTAGACATCCAGCTTGAACTTGGAAACATCAGCGACATGAACCTGCTGAAAGCCTTCCTCCTCCCTCATAGTGTTTCCCTAACATCAGAGCAATGGCGGTCTTCCCTCCCCTGCTGCACCACTCATTGTCACGTGTCCGGTGATACTCCAACATCTCCTTCACTCTCTCGTAGATGCCAGTTTTAACAAACACTTTTTCTGTCCTCATGACCTGTTTGTCCAGCCAATCTGACGAATAAGCAAAAACATATAAGCTGATATCTGTTTCCCCAACATTGTAGGCTCACATTTACATATTAGAGAAAAGTGTTTTGATTTTTTTTTGTTTCGCGTTTATATTATGTTTAGATCTATGCATAAAGGTTCAAAGTGATTATAAAAAGCCTAAACCCTGTACGAAGAGGGATGACTTCAACAATATTTTACATTAGCTCACATTAGCTTGAGATAGATTAACAGAATCAAGGCCTCACTAGTGCTTTCTTAACATATCAACTTAACTTCTTAGATGGTTTGGGCAGACTTGCGAATTCCTATATTTGATGCATTAGTGACAAAAAATATGTGAAACGGCGATCGACGGAAACCACAGTTTAAATTTTTACAGGAAAATAAGGTTGAAATATGCATTGCCAACTAGGCTGATGTTATGACTCTACCTCTGCTCATGACACCATCATTGCAGACTCCTTCGTTTGGCAGCTCCTCCCCTGAATGACTGTCCGAAGCTGGTTGATAAAACAAAGCCAAAGATATAAAAACTTACAAAAAGCATGCTGCATTCACTGTAACAGCACTACACCTTTTACAGCATGGGGCCGGCAAACTGTGGAAGAGATCAGTTTTCATGTTAGGATGAGTTTGTTCAAATTTGTTGTTTTTTGTTCTGCGCTTTGAGTTGTTTTTATGATTCAGCCATGATGAAACTATATATATATATATATATATATATATATATATATATATTGCAATTAAATGCCCTACCGCGTCTTTTATCGATCATGGCAGTGTAGACATGTGATGCGTGGATAGTAGGTTGATTCTTGTCCACAGTAGAAGTATCCAGATGTAGGTCAGGACGCACATGATCACGAAGGAACTTCATATGACAATATTCCAAGACGAGGGATGGGTTGAGAGTGAACAATGCACACGCACAGGCATCGTAGATGGAAGGATGAGCAAATCCGGTTATGTCTCCCTCTGTGAAAAACGTACCCGAGAAATGTCTGATTGATTTTGCTAATTTTGTTCGTGAGGAAATACGTACAACATCTTTAATCAATGTAAACATGCTTTCCAGGTCCTGGTTGCCAGATGGCATCTCTACTTCTCTTAGGTTCAGTGTCTCTTTACACAGAAACATCAGGATGAGAGCACCTGACTCGTCATTCATTTGGCGGAGAATTGTTTCCAGTTCTTCTCTCAGATAGTAGAAAGGTTCACCGAAAAACTTTTCACGATGCTTTCGAAAATGTTGACACGCAAAAAATAGTTTGCATGTTTGAGGAAAGCCTAAAACAGATTGTTCAAAACTACAAATCGCGTCTACGTCGAGGTCCTGACGATCACCTGATTCTGATGATTTACGATGTTTGTTAAATATTTCCTTCTTCTCCTCAGGCGAGTACTGACGAGACAACAGTGTGAAGTCAATAAAAGAAGAACCACTAAAAAATGTTTCCCCAAAGTGCGATATTTCACCTCTATTTGTGTTTGCAGTTAATATTGCATAAACTTCCCTTTTGTCTCCAGGTCTGGTTTTACACATTTTCAGCTCTTGTTCCAGTTCACGTAAAATGCGGTCAACCTGTGGTTTGTCCCTTGCTAAATCGACCGTTTTGAAGATGTCATGAAATATAAAACAACCCTTTTCCTCTCTGTCTAAACAGCCGCGCAGATTGATTTTGCAAACATCAGTAACCAAAACACTTTAAAGCCCCTATCGTTATACTGTTTCCCTAACACCAGAGCAATGGCGGTCTTCCCTCCCCCAGCTGTTCCACTCATCGTTACATGTTTGTGTTTCTTCAGTTCTTTCCTCACTGTGTGGTAGATGGTGGTTTTCTCAAACAAGACTTCTGCCTGCGCCATCCGTTGTAGCAGCAAATCTGAAACAGATAACATGGCAAAGCAGTAAAACTGTTGTGTTAAGGAACTACCGAAAAACTAATGAGAACCTTGCCATAAAGTACTGATACACAAGGAGAAAGAATCCCAGACCCACTGAGCTACGGTACCATACTGCAAATATCACTTCTGGGCGATTGAGACGGTTATCGCAATGTGACTCTTTAGTGTGTCTGCATTAGATGGTCTACATCATCCAACATGTAATGATAATAATAATAATCAGTTATATGTGTGTGTGTGTGTGTGTGTGTGTGTGCATGTGTGTGTATGTATGTGTGTGTATGTGTGTGTCTCTCTCTCGTGTGTGTGTGAGTATGAGAGATTATTGTGTGTGTGTGTGTGTGTGTGTGTGTGTGTGTGTGTGTGTGTGTGTGTGTGTGTGTGTATGAGTGTGAGTGTGTGAGAGAGACCATTTTCCAGTCCATAAATGTCTGACAATTTGTATCCAGGCGAATCAATCTCAAGAAGTCTGATAGTTCCTGGAAATATATGTGGTTGTCTGCTGGGGAACTTCAAAGTACTGGACCTTCTGAGACCATAATATTCATATTGAATATTGTTAATGGGCAGTAAATGGCGAAGGAAAGGCATTGCATTGTTCTGACATCTTCTTGTATGTTTGCTACAGCTACATTACACCAATAGTTCTTGTCACCTGTCTGCTACCTACCTTCAGTCATTATTCCAGTCTTGTCACCTGTCTGCTACCTACCTTCAGTCATTATTCCAGTCTTGTCACCTGTCTGCTACCTACCTTCAGTCATTATTCCAGTCTTGTCACCTGTCTGCTACCTACCTTCAGTCATTATTCCAGTCTCTGGTGGAGTCTTCTCCTCGGCTTCAGCGCCATCTGTTTACAGAAACAAATAATGTTCATTGTAAAAATGGATCATAGAGGAAGAAAAACATTCATTATGCATTTCCTCAGAGTAAACTTCATGATTCCTGTTTTATATGTGTAAAGAAACCTCCTCCTTTGATGAATATAAATTGTTTTGTTTTGTTGGTCATCAAACCAAGTCCCGTCATGCAATATGACCTTTCAGCTCAAATTCCATCTTTATTGTTGCATCATTTTATGTAAATGTGCAAATCGTCCATTAGACCAATAGTTCGTCTTCTATCTACCTTCCTTCATTATTCCAGTTTGTACTGGAGTGTCCCCGCTTGAAGCTTTTTCTAATTGCAGAAACAAAATGTTCATTTCATACATGTATGTTTGTATAATTCGGGTATATAGCCAGCAAAATGTTCATTGATTGTACCCGAGAAATGTTTGATTGATTCTGCTAATTGTGTTCATGGCGAAATGTGTACAATACCTTTAATCAGTGTAAATATGTTTTGTAGTGTGATTAATTTTATTCTTTCGGAAAGAAATAACGAAACAGAAATTAATTTGACACGAAGTATGAAGTATGATGTACATGGGCACACTGATTTATTTCGTGATAAATCTTTGGTTTGTTTCATTTATTAAAGCTTCATTCAGAAGGCGATTCTGACTTTACCTTCATCCGTGTGTCCACGGGATAACAGAAGGTCCTCGTTGAATGAAGCACCTGGGGATGAAGAAGTAGACTTTGTGAGATTGGGTTTGTTTTCACTCTTGGAACATTTATATCACAGCATGTCAACTAGATGGGGAGATGAAACACATTTATGCAGATCCACGATTGTAAAGCAACGCTGGCATGATGCTGACATACGTAGAAAAGAACCCACGAACCTCTACACTGAAAATGCTCGGAATTTGACAGTGTTTGGGGAGACTTTAAAATCACCCACTTTCTTTCAATATTGTTTGCAGTATTACATCATGAGGTATGGTTTAGGTACAGAATGATAAATGTGACTAGCGGACTACAGATACAATGCCAGTGTATAGACCGTGTGTGGAGAAGTTAACGTCAGGAATTAACACCATGATAGGGACATTGACATTCTGTACCAAAGCGATGAAAGCGGTAGTAAAATATACTCATGGTACACCACTGAATAGATGAAAATGTGAAACACCGGGGTAAAGCAACTATATTGTAGAACCGAGACAGTCTTTACTTACTTTACATGCTGAACAAAATGCCACAGCATCGGTGCTAACCGGATTGTTTGCGATTTTGTTTCATATTTTGTTTGTTTGTTGTTTGGCGATTCCCTCAGCAATATTCCAGCTATATGGCGTCGATTTGTAAAGAATGGAAACTTGACCAGGTAATACAGTGATCAACAGTATGAGCATCGATTTCCGCAACTGGGATACGATGACATGAGGCATCCGAGTCAGCGAGCCAATTATTGTCCTGGAAAAGTTCGAGAAAACACGCAATACTCACCCGCATTTTGTGCACTGCAACAAAGAAAAAACATATAAAGAATAAAATGATACATATTCCAGACATGTGGGCATAGGCCCTACTGTAAGCTCAATCTCCTGAGATTACTATGGTGTCAACATTCCATAACCCCCATCCATCCATCCATCCATCCATCTCTTCATGTTTACGACTGTGTCAGATACGTTCATTCCAAGAATCCTTAACCTATGTATGTTTGCACATCATAAACAGGTTATGTATCACAACAGGTAATGACAAATGTGAAAAAAGTGATAATATATTACCGATTTTTCCGTCTGCGCCATCTGCAAAAATAATAACACACATACTTATTGAATTTGTCATTGCAGTTTGACTACTTTTATGTATACATATTCCAGACATATGAACAGAAGCCCTATATTAAACTATACATACATTCGCTTGTTTCTTCTTTCATTCATTCATTCAGACTTCTGTGTCTTAACATCAATGAAACTATTTAGTGTGCAATTATATGTAGAAATATAATCGAGCAGAGATTCCTTTCGCTGCCTAGTGCCATGCTTGTCAAACCTCTCTTGATTCCTCACTAGTTCTGGAAGACGTCCACTGACAACGGAGCCAACATCTCATGATTAAGGATGCTGACGGTGCAATGACGGTTGAGGAAGATGTGCTCTTGCAGCAACATAATGGATGCAAGAAGTGTGGCAGTCAGCACCAAACAGTTTTCCTGTTACACTTCAGACATGAACAACGAACCCATGTCACCTCTAATGTTGACTTTGTGGCAGCTATGGAGAAACCTATCCAACAGCTGAGGTGAAGGACCTCAGCGAAACCGGTTAAAATCGTTCTAACCCTGTTGGAAAAGATGTCCCAATGTGGAAGGCGATTGTGTTGAAAGATAATATGTTGTGTTTTTATGTCATGTGTTGTATTTTCTATGTGAGGGATAAAGCTGTAATCATCTGTCGTAGTTCACATTCACTTGTGTCAATGTTAATGTTAAGTCAACGCCAGTTCTAGAGTCACAATTTGCCCTTTCTTTAAATAGCTACATGTGCCTTTTTCCCAAATCTTGTTTGATCAATTGTTATCATTCAAGGTCGTAATAAAGCCTAAAAACATACACATTACACCAGACATCAGATTGATGTTTGAAGCAACAGTTTTCACGTGAAGCGTATGACTGACTGACTACCCCATCGCCCTGTGAAGCATATAAACTTACAATAGGACCACGACGACTGCGACGACTGTGGCGAATACAGCTACAACCAGGAAGACAGGAACCAGTATGGCAGCCAGATTGTCTGCTTCTTCCTTGATGTTGCTAACTACTGTAGGCAAAGACAATATTTATCACAACATCCGCCAATGATTTGACTATACTCGCCAGCGTCTTCGACTACATCAACCGGCGTTTTAATTACATTCACAAGCGTGTTGTACTAAATCCACTAGCGTTTCTGACTACATCCGTTTTTGTCTACATCCGCCAATGATTTGACTATACTCGCCAGCGTTTTTGACTACATCCATTCAGTGACTACATCCGCCAAAGTTTTTGACTACATCCGTTCAGTGAGTACATCCGCCAAAGTTTTTGACTACATCCATTTAGTGACTACATCCGCCAAAGTTTTTGACTACATCTATTTAGTGACTACATCCGCCAGTGTCTGACTACATCCATTCAGTGACTACATCCGCCAAAGTTTTTGACTACATCCGTTTAGTGACTACATCCGCCAGTGTCTAACTACATCCATTCAGTGACTTCATCCGCCAAAGTTTTTGACTACATCCGTTTAGTGACTACATCCGCCAAAGTTTTTGACTACATCCGTTTAGTGACTACATCTGCCAGTGTCTGACTACATCCGTTTAGTGACTACATCCGCCAGTGTCTGACTACATCCATTCAGTGACTACATCCGCCAAAGTTTTCGACTACATCCGTTTAGTGACTACATCCGCCAAAGTTTTTGACTACCTTTTCCAGCAATAAGGTTTCTCTTCGCTTGGCATACATTTAAGGAATATTCAGGATTGTTTATGAAAGGTAGCAGAATTAGACCTGTTTTATCTACCTTAACAATCCAACATTAAAGCATCAAACTACTTATAACATTTTTTTACTACATTCCTTATTATTCCAATATACATGTTTAAAATGTGATACTATATATGTCAAAATGAAAACCTGTTCCTATCATTCAACCTATATTGCCCTGAATTCGGTGTGTTGACCTATGCCCCGATAGAGGTGATAGAGATGATTGAAATATGTACAATGTAAATACATCTAACTTACTCACTCACTCACTCACTAACCGACTGTTACAGACACTGCTTCAATGTGGCTTTGCAAATAAACATTCTCACCGCTCAAGGTCACGGACATATTTTTGTAAAACATGCTTATATGGTACAGACAAATTTGACAAAAGATCTGTTGTATTCTGGTATCCATATTTTTTTTCCTACAGATTATACATTAACCACAGGCATCTAGATTATCCATTATATCTCTGTACCTGTCGTGATGTTACAGAACTCTCCAGTATAAGTCCCATTGCAACCAAGTACACACACGCCAGTTTTTTGGTTGCATCTTTCCTCCACACAGTTCCTGTTGCAGGGATGTTTACACGTATCTCCATACAAGCCACGGTCACACTCTGGACAAAGAAAATCGATGCCTTGATGAATAAATCAAGTAGATATTTCAAGAACTAAAATTTAATGACATCCAATTAACTGAAAATCTATAATATAAAATATGAAATACTTTGAAAATAATATGGATAGGAATTCTGTTCAAATGGCCACCATGGTGTTCATTTAAGTTGGTGACTGAATATCAGTGTGATGTACAATGTCTCGGCAATATGTCAGTATTTAACCAGCTCAGATTAGGATGCGAGACAGGTTATGCACACATTGATGCTTTCGCGCAAAGAACTTTTTTCTTTCTATTTTCATCCCTCAATTTGCTACACTTGTCGGTATACATACAAAATACACATATATGCATAAGCACCTACATGTGCACAGATACATTTTCACAAACACACACACACACACACACATACACACGGACATACATATAAACAAGACGCAATGCATATCGTTTGCTGCTAACCATATAAGTGTTTGTTAGATTGAAAACAAAACTGAATGAACATGGATTATCTCCCTTTAACTGCTCTCCGTAGTTTGTAAACTAGCCAAACACTGCATTTCTCTTTCACTGAAGATTGTTAAATCTCTCCTGTCTTTGGCAACAAAAACATTATTTCATGCTACAGTTATCGTGTGGACACTGGACCCGTGAAGGTCCGGGGTAGAATAGGTCTTCAGCAACCAAGGTGCTTGCCATAAAAAAGGCGACTATCTTGTCGTAAGAGGCGACTAACGGGATCGGGTGGTCAGTTTCGCTGACTTGGTTGACACATGTCATCGGTTCCCAATTGTGCAGATCGATGCTCATGCTGTTGATCACTGGATTGTCTGGTCCAGATTAGATTATTTACAGACTGCCGCCATATAGCTGGAATATTGCTGAGTGCAGCGTAAAACTAAACTCACTTACTCACTTACGTGTGGACACTGAGTCATCAAAACTGACTTTTGCCTATCTATTTGGATGTTTAAGTTCAAGCATTACCACAGCATCTTTGTCATGCATGTACATTGAGCAACATCCTTTTATTCACCAATACAAGGATCCTTGATGTAGCTGTCCAAGTTAAAGTGTTGACCACAAAACGGAAAAGGATCCCGGTAATAATATTTTGAAACCAAAAAAATCACGTGGTGATTATTATCGTGGTGTAAACATTTACTTCAAATATTTAACCATAAATATAGTTGTTTCATCTTTGTGTATAGCAACACAGTTTCATTTCCTGAATCGCGTTTCTTGATGTTTTTTTTTTTGTTTTTTTAAATTTGATGATAAATAGGGAAACAATCTTTGTTTTTCCGTGACATTTCGTTTCGTTAACCTAAATTTTATATATACAGTTGAGATATTAATACAATTGTGCACCAGATATGTATGAGAACTTTACCCAAACAATGGATCTCAGTTTTATGTCATGAAGCAAAGCGAACAATTACGGAAATATAAGGAATGGAAAGTGAAATAATTAAGCCACACATATTAGTCAGTATTACGTTATATATCAGTCAATAATGAATATTGTGAACATTTTACTAACTTATGTCTTTGAATATTTTGCCCAAATTGTATATCTGGAATTCCTTCTGATATGTCACTGAACTATTTTCATATATATGAAATGTATATTTTACTTTAAAAAATGTTCTCGTAGGTCAAGTTTCAATTTGCTTTTAGCAGAGAGTTGTTATGAATATGAAAAGGCGTTTATCGCTTCTATTTAAATAAACCGATGACATTGCCTTTTGTGAGGGTGTTCAGATTACACCATTGTGAATTATAAAGTTAACATATAGAACTGCAATCTTTGGAAGACTACATACAAGACAGATCTTCTGTTTTTCCAAAGAAAGAACAACTTTAGACATGCAGAAAAATACCATGTGGGTTATACAAACTCGCGATTTACATTCATTGACTTTGTTGAAATTTGTCACTAAACGTGATGAGCACATGGGTCACACCTCTAACCTCTAAGACACAATGTCAATAGAGAGATGATAGGGAACTGTTAGTGTTCTTCATTAGTTGTTGGCATTTGTCACTAAACGTGATGAGCCCATGAGTCACACCTCTAACCTCTAAGACACAATGTCATTAGAGAGATGATAGGGAACTGTTAGTGTTCTTCATTAGTTGTTGAAATTTGTCACTAAACGTGATGAGCCCATGAGTCACACCTGTAACGTCTGAGACACAATGTCAGTAGAGAGATGATGTGGAAATGTTAGTGTTCTTCATTAGTTCAAGCTATTTGAAATTTTGAATCCGACATTCGTAGAAGACATAGACGTTCCCTTGGGCAAAACACGCGCTCTCAATCATGTTACTCTCGGATTTTGTTATCTTTAAAATTGAATTTGTAAACTTGCAGAAAAGTTTCAGAAAAAGGGTTCACATTAAGTTTCATGTGACGTAATGTGAAAACTTTCAATAATGGTCAAATAGGTAAATCGCCTTCATTGATTAAGCCATCTTAACATGTTAATGTATATACATAAAGATTCCGAGTAAGACTCTATGGCCAGAGGTTTGAGGAACACTCCCAAGCAGTCAAATCCCAGCTGTCCAGCCCATAAAGTAGTCATATGGCTCAGAACTGATCACCTCAGATCAAAAGCTTTCAAGGTCACATGAAAGCTTTGGTTGTAGTTATGGTTCATTTGTGGTAGACAATTGATGACATCAGCTAGGCATACTATGGTAGACAAATGATGATATTAGCATGGGGCTAGGCATACTATGGTAGACAATTGATAACATTAGCAAGAGGCTAGGCATACTATGGTAGACAACTGATGACATTAGCATGGGGCTAGGCTTACTATGGTAGACAATTGATGACATCAGCAAGGGGCTAGGCATACTATGGTAGACAATTGATGACATCAGCAAGGGTCTAGGCTTACTAGGTTTGGGTGTTTTGTAATTCAAGAAATGAAAACTAACTTTAGAAATGATTATGAAGATTGTAGAATATGTTCCACATGTGTATCGTTGAGAACTAGACTTTGTGTGTTTCACCTAAAGTATGGGTGTATAAGAACATAAAATGCAATATCAACGCTAAAACAGATTTTAAGGGTTTTTAGTACGAACGTATGAACATGAGCAACTGAGATTATGTTCCTATGAAATGCTCGTCAAACCAATACAACCATATGGTATACACTTCATTTTGTATCAATGAATTTATGTTTTCTCCCAAAATTTGACAAACCGTTTTTCTGAATCTGTTTCGAAATACTGATTAAAGTGAAGTTGAAACCCATGTTCCGCCCATGAATATTTTGTGCGAACACCTGGTATTATATTTAATAGGTATTCATAAATACATGATGATATTTTCTGAATGTTTTGTGCGAACACCAGGTATTGTATTTGACAGGTATTCATGAATACATGATGATGTTGTCTGAATGTGGGAATAGGTATTCATGAATACATGATGATATTGTCTGAATGGTCAATTATCTACTTTGGTATGGCTGGGTTTATTTATATTATCACATTTTATAACAATCATCAGTTATTGGTGGAGCCTTAGAAAGCTTTGAAAAGTTAAATAACATCACTGTGTCCATTTTCAGCTTCACACGTCAATGAAAATCAGAGTCGATTGTACAATTGTGACAATATCATGAGTATATATTTGTTTCAGCAGTATTACAGAAACAACATAATTAATTATATTTATGGGCAACAAGTATCTAAAATGAACTTTGTAGTTCCGGTTAACAAAATAATGCTGTTACCAAGAACAAAATGTGAAAATGAAGTTTTAATAATTTCATTAACTCAATATTAAACTAAAATCATCGTACCTCGTGTACTGTTACAAAAATCTCCAATGTTGGTTCCATAGCAGCCAAGTGTGCAGTGCCCAGTTTGCAGGTTACATGTCTTGTTGAGACAATTGGTGCTGCAGGATTGGTCACACAGATCACCATGCCAACCACGCCGGCATCCCGCAGAACACTTCCCCGTGTCTCTGTTACAGTGCTGAAGATTTCTTGATGGAACTAGGGCACAGTTCACAGGACAAGTCAAGTTGCAGTGCTCGCCATATGTTCCCCAGTCACATTGTCCTGAGACGGCCAAGACTGAAATAATTGATGGCATGAATACAGACTGCCATGGCATCTTCGAAATTAACCACTGACAAGGTAAACTGCAGGCTTTTAATTGCAAATATCGATGATGATTATTCCAACTACCGTGTTGCCTGGTCCGATTCAATTATATACCCCCGATATTCTGACAGAATGTTGCTGATGTAGGCATTAAACTAGTAAAACAACAAAACCCTCTCGACATCAATCTGCTGTTTTACCCAACAAGATAGTAAAGAGACTTGATTGTTTAGTAGTTTTACCAGTAAAGCTCGAGCTCATATCAACTATCTTTAGTTCCCCATTTACCATTAGTTTAAGACAGTGTATAACTATAACTAACTCCTCATGTGTGGAGAGCAATTGATTGTTGACAGGTGATACTCACAGAAGGTCGGCACCAGAACCGCCAAGATTTTCAACATTGTTGAAGTCGACCACCTGCAACAGTCAGAATGCCAATTCACCAATATATATACATAGTGACGTCATAGCTTAGCAACGCCGTTATACACAGAGTATAGCAACGTCATTCCCATGATGATCACATTGACAGTGTGAAACAGGTTAGAATTGAAGAAATTTTATCTGTACCAAGGATCTTCAGACTTTTGCAACACAAACACACAAACACACGCGCGCGCTTTAAAGTCCCTTCTTAATAAAGCCATAACACAAGAAAAAAACTCTTTATTTTATTGCCAAAATTATGGAAAGCAAGTTGTAAGTATTGTACTTCCCAACTTCTAAAAAGCCACTCAAAGAAGTTTGTACATGCTAACAGGTCTATCATCTTCCGTTTAATTTCCAGAGGGTCCAATTAGCCAAAGTAAATAACTCAACGTTCGACATAGATCGTCGCCTGAAAACCAGAGTGTACTAAGTCACAAAAAACTATTTTTGAGAAATTCGATCTTGAAGTTTAGGACAACAATATCTTCTGAACTTTTCAATCGAATTCTTTCACATTTTGCACATGCATGTGACATGTTAAACAGTATTAGAAAATATCAAATTATATGCTCAATCTATTGAAATAAATAAGAAATTCACGAAACATGATTGAAGATAGAACTCTTGACCAAGGAAAATCGTGATTTTTCTCAAAACCAAAGTGTTCTAAGTGTCAAAAACCACAGCTAAAACTCAGCTTTATTATTATTTTATCGATATGTGGTTGCAATTTCTTTTTTACCAGGTTGTATTTTTGTCGTCTAAACCCATTTTACTTTCATAAGAACTATATTTTATTAAATAAAGCAGAAATAAGAACAGAGTTAAAATGTTCCATTTCCATGATGACAATCACTTCAGAATTGGTAAATATCAAAGTCACGTGATCAAATTGTGCTTGCTCATTGGTCAATTGACAACTTAGAAAACTTGAAAATTAACAACATGTGATTTTCATGGAGATAGAACAATGTTTGTGTTTGAAAAACCACTTTCAAACCTAGATAGCACTGTAAAAAGTTTCTAGAGTAATAGATTATGCTCTAAAACCTACCCTGAGCATACTAACTCTAATTTTGTCAAAAGTGGACTTAGAACACTCTGGTTTTCAGGCGACGAGATGTTATCTGATACGGTAAGATAGAAATACGTCCAGTGGTTACACACTTGTCTCGCTTTTGCATGTGTTTGTGATGCTGCCATTGGTGTGGCAGGATACGCTCACATCTTCACCACGTCTGGCGTCATCTCTATGTGATGATGATTCGAGATAAAGTCAGAAACGTACCGTGTTGTCACTACAAAAATGACTTGGTTTCCTGAAATCTGGAAACCAACCGTATACTGGGTAAATGGGGAATCCAGTTGGTTTCCATTCACTGAAACTGAGTAACTGAGTTTCCAACTAGATTCCATTTTGGATTCTGTGATTTTTGAATTTCCGTAAATGGAAACCAACAAGAAACTAAGGTCATAGGTTTCCTGTTGGTTTCCATTCCTGGAATTTGCAGTTGGATATTTCCATGAATGGAAACCAACAGAAAACCATAAAATGTAGTTTCATGTTGGTTTCCTGAGCACTGTTTTGAACAAGTAACTTAAGAATTGTAATGGTCTAGCATGAAGTTGAACATCCTGGCGACCAGTTGGTTTCCATTCACTGAAACTGGGTAACCTAGTTTCCTAATAGAATGGACACTGTAAACTTATAGTGTCGGAAATGGAAACCAACAGGAAACTTATGCTTATGTTTGCACTGTCGGTTTCCATTCCTGAAACTTAGGTTTGCTTTCATATCATATTACATTATGTAGAATAATGAGGTCATTTACAAATATAATTTAAGCTGATTATGCTTTGATGGGGAGAATTGGGGTCGGGGTGGCTGGGCAGGGCGTTCGGTGGTTAATATCATGATATTTCAGTGTGTCTTGATGATACAAAAAAACAAAAGACGTTTTCATTTCTTTCCCTTCTTTGTTTTTTTCACTATCAACAGAGAAATGAGGTAGTATCATATTTACACTACCATACACAAAACATTGCGCAAAAACATTGTATTTATACATACAAATGGTGAGGTAAAGGAACAACAATTAAATATGGCCTTTGTCCAGCTCTCTCAGTGCACCAGGCACACTTAGACTGGATTCTGTGGATTGGGATGAATGAGGCAGGTCCAGGGTTTAGTTGTCTGCTTTGCCAAACTCAGGTTGGTGGCAAATAACCGAGGTTGGTGTCCGATGACTTGTACCACTCGACAACAGCAAATATATGGTCTGTGAAAGTTTCCCCGGTTGTCTCAATTGTGTGTTTCAGGAAGTATTTTATTTTTCCTGGGCGGTAACTTGATGCTGATATGTTGGATCTGTCATCGGTCCATGATAATGTCAGGGATGTTGCACCGCCCATATCCTTCCGAGGTGTAAAATTCATTGTTGAACAACATGGTTGGACAGAACACCAGATCTGGAACCTGAAACAATACAAAATTTGTTCAATGTGGTCAGAAAATTATAAAATATTAATACACATTACAGAAAGTAGAAATTTCTCCTTGTTATCACAAGAACGTTTCTACCACACAGATAGAAATATTGCACACATATGGCTTATTTGAGCATTTGATTTACTTGACTTGTAGAGTTAATCATGTCTAAAATTAATATACCTGAGCATTATTTACAATACAGTGAAACCCGAATAAGTAAAACTCCAAGGGACCATGGCAAAAGTTGCTCCTTATCCGTATTGCCACTTATCCATTCAAGCAAGTTGTATCACATTTCCAAGTAAAGTAAATAGACATCGTATCCCCATTGTATCACGACAACCTGACCCCTTCACCTGGACCATTCAATAAATTATCTGCAGATCAATAAAATAAATAGATATATACAAATTTGATTCATTTTTTAACAACACTCATCATTAAAAAACATTTCATATACAAGTACATGTTATATCACCTGTTATGATATCACACATTTGAATCAGCATCACACTGTCGTTTCACTATAGGGTTACACTAATAGTTTCACACGGAAAATGAATCAACTAAAAGAAGGCCTTGAACGAACGAAATTAGATGTTTAAACGGCCTTGATACATGTCTGGTTGGTTTTCATACCTTTACTCCTTTGCTAGCGTAGGGAATCCTGTCAACACTGTTGTTCCATCAGATTGTGACAACCATACTGCACAATTTTGTGATCAATGGTGGCACTCTGTTGGAACTTGCCCCTCTACTCAGATCCACTATATCCAGTGTATGGCAGATTTGACACCGATTGGGATTAATTATGACAATAAACAACATACAGGAAGAGACTAATTAGTCGGCTCGTTAACAACGAAGTGGTTGATGCCAGGTGATACATGGTAATTGCTGCTGAGTGTATCCACAAGGACTGGTCCGAGTATTGTCACATTTCTGTAGTAAATTGTCCGAAGGGATTGTTGAGAGAGAAAGGTTTACTAAACAGACTTGCCACTTATTCGTTTTTTACTTATCCATAATGAAAAATGAGGGTTATTGAGAAAAAAGGTTTACTTAACCAGGGTTGCCATTCATCAGTAGTTTACTTATCGGGGTTTCAATGTATATAAAGTAACATGTAAATATCATATCCTGAATTATTACATTTGAAACATATGCAAAACAAAAGATAGTATCAATGCACACCTCCTCTTTGTTTTGGTCAATCAAGGATGGGGCACTTGCTTTATCTGAAATGACATAATAACACAATGATATGCAAGAATAAAATTTTGAAAGGTGAATTGACTCAGCATATAAAGGTACATTAGTCAAACTTTCTCTTTACCTATGAACTGATGCTGTTGTTGTCGAACCAAGATGCTGAGTGTTTATAAAGAACTGATCCTTTCGGGACACCAAATCACTATACTGTTAGAATTTGTACTTACATAACACCATGATGTCACCAGACTATTACTCTATGTTCCCCATATTGTATGGGGAATGTATGCAGAAGACTTTGTACTTCTGTGAAACATCATTAATGTCTTTAGAAATAATGTACAACTTACCATTGTTAGTAAGCCATCTCTTGTGATTGTATGCTGTTTTACGTGAGACATATTGATTACAGTGCTCACAGTAAACTTTATTCACCCTGAAAAGGAAATTGAAAGTTGAATTACTAAACCGTTATGGTATATCTAACATTGAAAAAAAACCAACACTAAATATGTATTTTTCATAATAATTATCATAATTATTGAGTTAATATTCTAAGTCACATTTTATCTAATATACATGTATATGGATGAATGGTATTCTACGATGAATACTACTGTAGTAATGCCGAATCTTAAACGTAAAAAATAACGTTTGCTTTGGAATATGAAAAAGAGTATTTGGGATGGTAACAATAATGTCATTTAAACAATCGTCATCCGGTACTTACATGATGGGATTTCTCAATAACCAGAATATCAAAGATTTACTATGAATTGAGGTAGTTGAGGGTTAAAAGTGAGTAACATTTACCAGTAAAAGCGTTTATAGCTAGTATGCTTTAACACTGAGAACTTGACAAATAATCAGTGTCAGGTCAATTGAGTGTCGGGATTCGTTTGTCGGCTTCCTTGGGCTTGTCTCGTCTTAGGGGCTCCTATTATCAAAATGAAATAGCTGTAAAAACAATGGGAACTTACCTGATCATGTGTTGACAGACGAAACCATGTGTTGACAGACGAAACCGGAAATAATGAGTCGGTGGGCACGCGAACTCGTGAGATTTCATCAAAACAACGATTTATGTGCCAAAGTGGTCATTTTCAACTTTTGTCTTGAAATCACAACCAAATTTGGGTCTAGATAATGTTTTCATACCTGCCAATCGAAAAAGGATTACGTATTTATTATTACCCACAATGCCCCTAATCCCGTTTGTAACCTTCAATATTGCCGCCATTTTGTCTCTTGATCTCAGGAGTTGTTTTGAAAGTAGCCCTAATCTGTGGCACCCGTTTATACGACATGCTATATAAGAAACTCAACACAATGGATTATTCCTACGCTTGTACGTATTATCTAAATCGAGAAAATGGCATCGAGAGTGTCTCCAGAAGCTTTGGAGGTTCGTGTACGCGAACTGGAATTCAGCAGCAGTCGTCGATCACAGAGAGAGAAACAGAACGTCCCACGACCTTATCAGGTACAGTGAAAGTTTCTTGATATTACATTTCCCAATAGAATGTTATTCGTTTATCGTAATAAAATAACTAGGACAATAAATATTATGATGACTTGATGGAACTCGACAAGCAAATGCGTGTGGACATTTTGGCAAGGAGATTATTATTACCCAGTGCCCCGTCAACTCAAGAACTCATTCATAATGGTAATGTATGAAATATTATGTTTGCAATAAATATATAAACCACATATATATCCAGCAATATTACTGACACGTTGTAAAGACTCAAGATCACTTCCAAACGTATTTAGATTTAATAAATACTAATATTTTCCTTATGTAAGAAAACCAGTGTTTGGAAATTCGTTTAAAGTTTGTTATTGAAAATTGCTTTTGATATTTGAATCAGTACAGGTGGGGATAACCAGTCATTTTGTATTTATAGGAATTCTTTGGCCAAATTTGGCGCATGGTTACAGATTGTTTAATAACAATCAAGCACTTCCATACAAACATTCTATGTCTTGTTAGTTTCAATTTCATATATGTATATATACATATGCCTGTATACCTGTACACACACACACACACACATATATATGATACTGTTGAGTGTTGGTGTTGAGTGGATACATTATCAATTCAATATTTTTTTAAACTGATTTGGAAAAGGGTTTTCAAACTAAGTAAGATATTATTAATGTATTATGTAATTTAACTATATTATTTGATGTAAACAATTTTACACTTATGTCAAGAATTTTATCTGAAGAGATGTGGATTGTGATGCACAGAAAAGTTTGCATAGAAAGTTTAATAATAAAGTTGTTATTAATAGGGATACACTTATACATAGTCAATTTAAAATAATATATGAATTATTCATATCTGGTTTCTTTTCATATTATTGTATTTCTACTGATATTTATTCTTCTGTTTTTGCCTTATTGTTTTCTTAATCGATTAATTTCTACATTTCCAGCAATCCATTAGGGCAGTGGTGGAAAAATTGAAGAAGGCGACCGATGACCAACTGATTTTGACCTACAACAGGTAACTCAAATCCTTCAGTATAAACAATTCTGTGTACATGAAAAGAAATTACAACAAAGTTATGGCCATGTTGAAGGTGAACATCTTTTCATATTTGTATTAGCACTACATTCATGTATGTCATTTTGTAATCCTCCTACAGAATTTGCAATGCACAGCCATATTATTTCAGTAATATAATTTCAAATATTATTGTTTCTTTAAAATGCAATTGTGAAATAAAGTTATTTTATCCAGTCTTCACTAGTACTCACAATGCTAAACCATGTTTAAAAAAATGTAAATCCTATAAATCGGGAAAATGCATAAAAACAGCTACTATTTTTTAACATCCAAATGGAAATACTTTCTACTTATACATATCTCCTTTCAGAAGCTTTTTGGTGGGTGTGGACCAACAAGAGGGATGACCTGAGAAGACAACAAAGTGGAAAGGCAGAGGCCCACAGGTTGTCTGCTAAGAACAGCAAAAGGGTCAGATCAGTAAGTACAGAATATCTAATCATTCTAAATTCTAATCTTACACAGGTTAAAGTTTTAACATAAACTTGATTGGAAACAATTGGAAGTTAATGTAACTTCTTGTATTGTACTGTGACATTCAAAAGAAATTTCAAAATGAACATTTTTTAATAAGTTTTAAATAGTAAAGCGCCAGTGTATAGTTTTGTTTTAAATGTGTGGTCATTCTAGTCGACTAGAAACTGAATGGGAGTTCCCCTCAATCTTATATCTCACATTATTGTATTTGCAGTTTCTAACAAGTGTGGTGGTGTTAATAAATAATTGTTAATTGATGTGTTCAAGGTGAAATGTTCAGACCAAAAACAAGTGTGTAAAAAAAAATATGCTTCCTTTGACACAATAATGGGTAATTCATAGTTCTATACACATAATATCTAAACATGATTTATGCAACATTCAGAAGATAAGATGGCTTTCACAGGAACATTTTGCAGATAAGTAGGCAACGACAGTGACCAGTATTTCATAAATTTAGTGAGCATTCATAAGGTATATTATTGATTCAATGTCAGTTTCCCATAAGTCACATTTATTATTTGTTGAAAGAGAATCAGTCATGAAATGTCCAACCCAAGCTAAGGAAATATGTCCTTCTCTCACTTGTGTCTGTACTCTTTCAAAATTCATTAAGTTGTACTGTGATTGAAATCTTTGCCCCTTTACAGGTCATTTCAGGTGATTAGTTAGATTTCTTATTACTACTATTTCCCTTATAGAACAGTAGTTTCAATTTAGTTTTCCTACAGCAATATTGTGTGGTTTTCTTTTTTCTAGCTACGGATATTGTTGACGAATGCTTGTTTGTACTGATTGTTTATCGTTTTCTAAATTTCAGAAACTGGAAAGCAGGCTGAAGGCCATTGCAACCATAGACTGGCCGAAGAAGAAGAAGGAGAAAGTTCTACCTCTCTAGAGGGAAGAGCTGACATCACCCATGGTGTCAGACGAAGAGGATGAAAATCTTCTCTTGTCAACTGCTTTCTGGTGGGAAAGCAAGAAACTTTGTTCATATAAGCGACAATTGGACAACCAGCGGTTGTTCAAGGCTACTGCAAGGGGCCGAAAAAATATGAAGATGTGGGGAAGACATCCCACACAAGTCCAACACGCCGATCTGCCACTGGACATACCCAGTTGGGCAGTGAAAAGTTCAGCAGAAGAAGACCAGCTGAACAACACTGCTGATTTTGATGCCTGAGACACATTTCTGATTTCCCATGCTGTGATGTTGCTTGAATATTGCTAAAAGCGGAGTAAAACTATACTCACTTACTCTTATGTCCCTGATGTTATGTACATGTAGCTAGATACATAATTAATTAACCATGTTCACAATCAAAGAGTTTTGACTGTCAATAAACTTTTCATTCATTTGTGTTCTATTCTGTGATTTGTTATCTTAAAGGTTTTACCATTATTCAATTGTATAAAATACCTGATTTTCTATCTGATACATGAAACACCTGGGGGAGCATGTAAATAACCAGCATTCAGTTTCATAGAAACCAGGTTTGAAACAACAATATTCTAAACACATGGAAAGCAGCAGGAGCTTAAATGGAGGAGTGGGTAAAGTATTATGAAATTTACGACCTGGAAACTAGGTTGAAACCAACAATAAACAAAACCATGGAAACCAGGTTGAAACCTACAATAAACGAAAAATTGGAAACCAGGTTGAAACCAACAATAAACGAAAAAATGGAAACCAGGTTGAAACCTACAATAAACGAAAAAATGGAAACCAGGTTGAAACCTACAGTAAACGTAAAAATGGAAACCAGGTTGAAACCTACAATAAACTAAAACATGGAAACCAGGTTGAAACCTACAGTAAATTAAAACATGGAAACCAGCTGGATCCTGCTTGGAGGAGTGGGTAATGAAACGCACTGGAAACCATCCGGAAATGGTGCAAAATTCAGTTTCAGTTTTCATGGAAACCACACTGAAACTTTAGGAAACTACATGGAAACCAACTGGAAATGGTGGTTTCCATGCCGTTTCCTCTCAGTTTCAGTGTTCCGGAAACCAACTTATTTTTGTAGTGTTCTCTGTCATGGAGCCTTATTCTACTCCTCATGGAGTACCTGCATTTATTCCTGCAGATTGTGAACAGGAGGCTTATTAGCTCGAAGTTATCGTCCAAGAATGTCATCAGCTGTGCATTGATGACGGGTCGAGAAACGTAGAGGTCTGGCACAACTACGGTATCCGGTATATCTTGCCGCAGGTCCACATAGTAGTAGTAGTAGTAGTAGTAGTAGTAGTAATAGTAGTAGTAGTAGTAGTAGTAGTAGTAGTAGTAGTAGTAGTAGTAGTAGTAGCAGCAGCAGTAGTAGCAGTAACAACCGTGTGTTTAATGTACTGCAATAGGACAGCAATGTGTCACACATGCTAACTACTTGTCATCATGTATTTTCTGAATGTCTAGGTTAATGTAATGCAGCAGGACAGCAATGTGTCACACATGCTAACTACTTGTCATCATGTATATTCTGAATGTCTAGGTTAATGTAATGCAGCAGGACATCAGTGTGTCACACATGCTAACTACTTGTCATCATGTATATTCTGAATGTCTAGGTTAATGTAATGCAGCAGGACAGCAATGTGTCACACATGCTAACTATTTGTCATCATGTATATTCTGAATGTCTAGGTTAATGTAATGCAGCAGGACAGCAATGTGTCACACATGCTAAGTACTTACTTGTCATCATGTCTAGGTTAATGTAATGCAGCAGGACAGCAATGTGTCACACATGCTAACTACTTGTCATCATGTATATTATGAATGTCTAGGTTAATGTAATGCAGCAGGACAGCAACGTGTCACACATGCTAACTACTTGTCATCGTGTATATTCTGAATGTCTAGGTTAATGTAATGCAGCAGGACAGCAATGTGTCACACATGCTAACTTCTTGTCATCATGTATATTCTGAATGTCTAGGTTAATGTAATGCAGCAGGACAGCAATGTGTCACACATGCTAACTACTTGTCATTATGTACGTTCTGAATGTCTAGGTTAATGTAATGCAGCAGGACAGCAATGTGTCACACATGCTAACTTCTTGTCATCATGTATATTCTGAATGTCTAGGTTAATGTAATGCAACAGGACAGCAATGTGTCACACATGCTAACTACTTGTCATCATGTATATTCTGAATGTCTAGGTTAATGTAATGCAGCAGGACAGCAATGTGTCACACATGCTAACTACTTGCCATCGTGTATATTCTGAATGTCTAGGTTAATGTAATGCAGCAGGACAGCAATGTGTCACACATGCTAAGTACTTGTAATCGTGTATATTCTAAATGTCTAGGTTAATGTAATGCAGCAGGACAGCAATGTGTCACACATGCTAACTACTTGTCATCATGTATTTTCTGAATGGCTACGTCTCGCCATGTTTAGAAGGTTGTAGTGTACTATACCAGGATAACTCGAACTGTGTTCTATGTTGCCACGAGTTCGACATACAGGGGTTTGACTGTATATGTATCAGTTAAGAGCAAGATCTGGACGACAGTTGGGGTAGTCTAAACTTGTGATATATTTTTCCGGCTCAGGAGGAAGATGAAATCTGTTTCATGAAGCTGAAGTTGGTTATAAGAACAAACTCACATTACACACGCACTCTGCTCGTTATCGCTCAGTGAGGCACAGACTTATAGTATCAACACATACCCATATTGTGTTTGTGATTTGAGAACACAGCATGACCCTGCTTAAGGCTATGTGTAAGGCATATCTAATAATCTTTCTAAAGGTAAGTGTTTCAAACAGACTTACATATCTGCTTATAACTGCTTGGAGCTATGACTGATTAATTTCATTAAGTCTGTCAATAGTTCGTACAAAGAATGTTTACAGAAATGCATAAGTATTGCCTCAAATAAACGTTATGAGCCTGATGTCAGAATTAGTGAGTGAGTTTAGTCTTAGCTAAATTCCAACAACATCACCCCAGGGGACACCAGAAATGGGATTCACGCGGTGAACCAATGTGGGGAATCGAATGCGGTTCAGAATGAGGAAGTATTGTTGCATACGTAGCAATATTCCAGCAATATCACGGCGGGGACACCAGAAATGGGCATGTGTACTGTACTGGTCGTTTTATGCCATAGTCTTAACTCTCATACATATACTTAAGGAAAAAGTAACTGTGCATAACATAAAATAGCGTAAAATAAAAGTTATTTGAAACTTATAAAAAAAGTACCCTAAAATAAACACGTAGAAGCGCACTTTGCATGTAATCTGAAGTATTGCACGTGGCACGTGGCACGTGGCACGCATACTTTGTGCACAATGATGACTTACTCACCTTGTGCATGCTTTTGACACATGACAAGGTTCACACACCGGACATGAAAATTGAAGAACGGTTGATTATTCTCTAGGCTCTGAATGCTATAGAAAGCACATTAATTTCACGTGTGTACGTCATGCAACGGCTCACAGAAAGTCAGCGTCTCCGCGCCGTCGGTATGCTGGAGACTGGAATGGCCCCAAACTGAAGTGACTAGACATTTTTGTGTGCGATATCATCACTATGAAGGCGTTTTCGACATAATGGGAACAAGAAAGCTTTGCCTCGGACGGACCGTCCACACGTAACGTCACGTCAGCAAGACAACCAAGATGATTTCTAAGGTTTCTAGGAATCGAGTTTAGACTGCCAGTTTGACTGCTCGGATCATTCCTGGCTTACGTCCAATCAGTTCCAGGACTCTATACAACACACTGTGGGTATAACAACATCCCATTTTGCTCCAACGTCACCGACAGGCACGTCTAGCCTGGTGCAGACAGCATGTACGGTACAGGAGACTATAATGGGATGGTGTTTTGTTCACTTATGAGTCGAGATTTCATGGCAGGGCAGAGCAAAGGCGTACAGACGACGAGGTGAACGTTTGCTCAACGTCGACAGTTTTGTGACGGAAGCGTTATGGTATTGGAAATCATCACATCTCATGTTAGGACACAAGTTGTCATTATCAATGGTAATCTGACAGGTCTGCGATGCATGGATGAGACCAAGAGGCCTCGTGTGCAGCCGCTGATTCAAGGACAGAGACGTGACTTCACGCTTCAGCAAGATAATGTCTGTCTACATCCGCAACAGCAGAACATTCCGGTACTCCCCTGGCCAGTTGTTTCTCAGGACCTGTCCCTTATTGAGCACGCTTGTGGTGAAATGGAACGACGTATACGTCAAGTCCAGAATCAGCGATTGACGTTAGCTAAAATGGGACAAGCGTTGGTTCAGGCATGGAACAACATCCCCAAGCTTTCTTCAATCGCTTAGTGTCATCTATGCATCGATGTTGTCAAACCTGCATCGACGTGAATAGTGGACACACACAATACTGAATTTGTGAACTGACTTTTGACACCGCGTCTCTCCAAGGGCGTGCCACGATGCCTAATGTCAAATCATACAGATTTATATATTATCCTGTCAACAGTTAAACAGAGATTGAGGAAAACACCTCAAATCGTGTTAGTATTATCTTTCTGCATTAAAAGTGGCATAACATCACATAATGCACAGTTACTTTATTACAGTAGCATTCAAACGTTACTGGCGCCATTTACAGATGACAGAGTTTATGCTTTATTTCAATAATCAATATGGTGTTGACTTTTCAATTTTCAGGCGACCAGTGCAAGACCAACCAGCATTGTTCAGACTGTGACAGAAATGGGAATTGCCCCTCACAGACTGTGACAACGGGTAATTTGATTGGAAATGCACGTCAGCGTGCAGCAAGACCTGCAGAAACCACTCATGTCTGTTGTCAGCCTCTGGTATAGGTGATTGTACTCAGGGATGTGTCCCCGGATATCAAGGCCCAGGGTGCAGCCTCTGCCAATACACGTGTGAAGTTTGTCACGATGGTGTCTGTGATCAGAAGACTGGCACGTGCACTGAAGGCTGTCAACCGATTCGACGAGGG